GGCGTCAAACTACGGTGGTATTTCTGGACGAAGGTCTAGAAGTGGAACAATCAATAGTGCTAACTTAGGCAGTGGTGCGAATATTCCGATCAACAATCAGTTCTTATCACCTACATCGACGGTGCCCTCAAATACATATGAGCATACAAGGTTCGATGAATCGTTCCATAATATGAGCAATTCAAATATCAATATGGAGCTGACTTATCCTCTTATAGTAAAAGATATAAAGATTGTTAGCAGATTTAAAGGACATACGAATACGGTTCATAAAATCAAATTCGTTCGAAATGAGGAGAATAGAGATAATACTGAACTGGCATCATCTAATAGCCCTGTTTATAAACTAATCAGCTGTGGATATGACGGACAAATAATAATTTGGGAGTTTGATTATAAGGCACTTCCAAAGGTTAAAAGGCATCATCATTTAGTAAGTAAACATAAAAGAAGACATTCTATACAACATTCACCACCGCCACCACCATTCCAACCTCAATTTAAATCTAAACCAGTTACGCATAATCCAAATAATATTTCTTCTAACAGAATTTCTGCTTCAATGTCTATGAAGACGAATCAAAACTACCATGCACGAAATATATCACTAACTCAGCCAGATGATGCAATGTCGCCATCAATGTCTATGGCATCATTTCAATTTAATAATTTGAATGCACAGTGGAATAATGCAGGAGGTGGCACAATGACAAATATGGCTTCTGTTTTAAATGGACGCAATAACAGCCGAGAAGTGTCGCTGGAAAATTTGACTGATAATGTTCAAGTAATTGTTGCGTTATATAAATCACTTTATGACTTGAGATTGAAAAGACACTATACTAGGCTAGTATTACAGGACTCAAATAATGCCAAAGCGAAGAAAAGGTATTCTACAATAATACATCCTATTATAAGCGATAAACTTGTGCCTTCAATTGAAGTGCCATTGCTAGTAATTGATTTGTCGCATTGGATTAAGGATGGAAGAGTAGAGGGTTTCTATTTGGATAAGCTAAATTTCTGGTGTTTTGGTAAAAATGGGGACATATTTAGGTACCAAATTAAATAAATTTATGTACATGTTAATATACAATTTTAGTTTTTATATTGTTCTCTATGCTAACTCATGCAAACAAAAAGTCCATATTTAACCAAAGGTATTTTTTAAATATTATTGAACATTCCAGCACCATCTAAGCCAAACCCTAGTTCTTCTTCCAATCTGAATAAATCGGTATGATTGTCATTATTATCTGTCGGAGATAAGCTTTTACTATTATGTGAAAATGTAAATTCATCAAGTTCCTGTGGCTTTGGAATAGACTGATAATATTGCAAGTCATTTTCATTTGTCATCTTTGGCGTGTCTGTATTAACCCCTGTCTCTGGGTTTGAATTTGAATTTGAATTGGAGTTAGAGTTAGAACTCGAACTTAGCATTTCATTAAATTGTTGTTGATTTATTGGAGTTGATAAATCCATAGAATCATTTTCTTGTTGCTCTCTTTGTTGTTGCTGTATCTGCATTTGTAATTGAATTTGCTGTTGTTCTTGTAATGGTTTTCTGACAAAATCTCTAAAATTTTTGACCTCATCAATTATAAGATTTTTCATTGACTTCATATCATCGACAGTTTCAAACGATTTGAAATCAAATTTTATTTGACACTCTGGCTCATCTTGTGGATCATGCCAAACAGATAAATATGGATGGTTTAATGCTTCTTCAACAGTGATTCTTTCGTACGGATCTAAAGTGAGCATTTTTTCCAATAAATCTAAAGCCAACGGATTTGCAGTTGGAAACAATTCAGAATAATGAACCTTTCTCATAAACGGTAAGGATCTCACATAATTCTGAGCTCTAACGGACCCAATCTTAGTTAAAGTTGATTCTTTCGGGGTTCCTAATATAAGTAAAATTTGATTCAATTGATCAACATAATCCTTACCTCTGAAAATTGGCTTCCCTCCTAATAATTCGGCCAATATACAACCAACCGACCAGATATCAATTGCCTTGGTATAATTTGTAAAACTCAACATGATCTCAGGAGCTCTGTACCACCTAGTTGCTACATATTCAGTCATGAACCCAACATTCTGCTCAGGACATTCCAGGAATCCCCTTGCTAATCCAAAATCACAAATCTTCAATTCACAATCAGCGTTAACTAATAAGTTTCCCGGTTTTAAATCACGATGCAAGACGTCAGCACTATGAATATACTTTAAACCACACAATGTCTGGTAAACGAATGATTGATAATGCGAATCCGTTAAGGGTTGTCCTGATCTAATGATTTGGTGCATGTCACATTCCATTAATTCTTCATAAAGATATATTTCGTTAAATTCTCCGGTTATTGGATTAGGAATAATATCCAAATCATAAAGACATGTAATATTCTTGTGTCCTCTGAAGAATTGTAGTAATTTCAATTCTCTCAAAGATCTCTTACACAATATTTTCTTGCTAAAAATATTGGTGATCTTCTTAATAGCTACATAGCTTCCATCTTCATTATTAGATCCATCGTCATACTTGGCCGAACATACGATTCCATAAGCCCCATGCCCTAATTCTTTCACTATCTTAAATCTTCTATCAATGATAAAATCTTGGTTATAAACCTTATTCACAACACGTCCAGAATACATTGTCTCTGTATCTTGTGGCATATTCTTAAACTATATATGAAAAGCAGCTCAAAAGTATTGATTTAAAATGACTCCAATTCTCAATTCAACGATTTACTAGAATCTCTGGATTAAATAAGTAATCTTTCACTGTTATTTTTTTTATAAATAGAATCAAGGTACCAACTCTGTAGCTTTGTAAACTTTCGAATCACAATAGGTAATATTAAAGCCGTATGCTTTTTGTTCGTCAGATGAAGAATGATTTGTCCCTATAATAAGCAACATCGAAGGCACTCTATTTTTAGAAATTATATACAGAACGCCACAACTTCACAGAAGTATAAAACAATAATGAATGCAATTTTATGAACTTACTATTACAGCAATCGTGTACAAGTGATATAATAAAAGTCAATGGTCAAGCCATCTCCAATTGTACCCAATGACTTATTGTCACTATTGTTCTTGGATACATATCATATCCTAAATCAGATTATTTTAGATTCACCGCACTCTCCCTGACTACATATTTTATATCGTAAATTACTGAATAATTAATACAATAATGGATACTCGTAAAGGTTATATCAATTGATTCTTAAAAATAATTATCATGTATTTGTAAATCTACGATAGTCTATTATTCTCAATAAGCCATAGAAAAATGAAGTTAAATTACCATAAATTTTCTTTGACTAGCCATTGCTTCAATACGGCGAGGCCACCTTCAACGGAAGCTCTACTATTCCCGAACCCTACTCTAATGAAGCCCTTCTTGTTATAAAACGTTTCACCGGGAATAATCAACAAACCGTGATTTTCTGCTAAGTCTGTCGTCATGTTAAAAGTATCGATGTTTGGATTAGTGAACTTCAAAAAACACGTAGTTCCCCCTTGAGGCTTCACCCACAAAATTCTCCCTTGAGAATCTTCGACAAAGTCCTCGATTAGCTTCATATTAGCCCTGCAAATCTGATAGTTTCTTTCAAGAATTTTCTTGTAGTTATCCAATACAAATGTAGCTAAGATACCGTCAACAATTGAAACTGAAATCGTATTATAATCTCTTCTACTCAGTAAATCTTTTACTAATCCGGGATGTTGGCATGCAATCCAGCCTAGTCTCAACCCAGCGAATGAGAACGCCTTGGAAGTAGATCCTGTAGAAATGGCCTTTTCATATCCAAAATTAACAATGGACTTTGGACCCGACTCAACTGAATGGTATAATGGTCTGTATACTTCGTCACATAATAAGTAGGTGTCGTGCTTTCTGCAAATGTCAATGATGTTCTCTAATACTTGGTTCTCCCAAACAACACCCGTTGGATTATTAGGATTATTAATAACTAATAACTTGGTCTTTTTCTCTGCCATTAAGTTCGATAACTTCTCTAAATTTGGCCTATAACCGTCTTCAAAGTTCAATGGGAATATAGTGGTATTTCCGCTAGAGAACACATTGGGCACACTTGATAACTGTTGATAACTCGGATCAACTATAATTACATGGTCTCCAGGATCCACTAAAGTGTAAAATAGTAAGAAATTGGCGCCAATAGCTCCATTGGTTATAACCAAGTCTGTCGATTCAATTGGGTTCGGATTTTCACCCCCCGCATAATCGTCATTATAAATCTTACAAATAGCTTTTCTCAATTTTTTAGACCCCTGAATGCATCCGTAAGTTAGCTTCGTTTCCAAAACTGTCTTCGACAATTGTTGTTCGACATTTTTAACATCCATTGGATCTACTAGCTCTGTCAAATCCTTTATAGATAACGAATCAACACATGTTTCGCCCATGTTATACTTGATATCGGTCTCATATTTATCCATGAACTGTTCAACTTGGAAATCCTCTTGCAAGACCATTCTCAATTACTATCCTTTTATGCCATTTACGCTATTATCAACGTCCTTTACGCTATTTTTTTCACGTCCCTTTTTAAGCTACTTTTACTCCGCTTAAGAATTTTGCGTCCCATATACGCGGAAAAAATGGAAGAATACAATAGAGTAGTAGACCCGTACCATGTCTCAAATAGTTTCCACCCAAAAAGCGCACATTGTGGGGTTTCGTCAATGCCCTATACTAATATGTGTGTATTACGAGTATGTCAAATCGTGTACAATTGCATCAATATAAACGTGAACATTGTACCTCATACTTTCCCGTACTATCATCGAGGCCGAATTAAATCTCGTCATAATGTCCCGAATGTACTAGGAAAGATAAACGGCGATACAGGATATGACATCCTGTATATAAACTTGGTGCCCTTTTATGAAAATCGTTGGTGTAGATATTAAACATATACTTAATCATTAATTCACTATATTAAAGCCAAGAAATGGAAGATCGATCGACAGAGAAAGATCAGTATGATGATCTTGCGTCGTTATTTTTACCTGATATTTTGCATCCTATATCCACCGAAAACATTAATGTCAAACAGGAAGAGCTCGAGCAGAGTAGTGATATAGGCAATTTATTTGGGGGCCAAGACGACTCCACCAAGAGAAATGACAATAACGAGAACTTTAGTAATTTCATGAGTAACAATAACTTTATAAACAACATTGGATCCTTATCGCAAGGAGGAAATATTGCATCGAACGCTGTAATGAGTGGTCATATAAACCATTACGCCAATTTCGTCCCAATAGAAGCAGCAGCTTCTATTCAACAACTGCATCATCCGCTGCACCGTATGTTTGCACCCCTTAACCATCAACATCAGCAGCTATTTCCAAGTTCGCATACTCAACCCCAAAACTCCGGAGGTGCTATGAGAATGGGGTCACCTTCCAATGCGGATTTGAATTGGTTTTCCAATCCACCGAGCGGTCTCGATACTTTTCCCATGGATAACAAACATTTGCAAAGTATTGACGGGAATTTTAGAGAATTTGATCCTTTTAGTAGCCCAAATCCATATGCGAATCAAACTAGTGTCACATCGTCATTTCCTAGTATGGAGAGAGGTGCCCCACTGAAAAGTAATGAAGCAATTGATGAATCCACTACTTTAAAGCAGAAGGATGTTAAAGACAAAGGTAAGACTAAAAAAAGGGCTAAGAAATCTAGAGTTACATCATCACCTGAAGTGCATATTGACTACAAACCTCATAAATTAACAAGATTACTTGATTTGAAAAAACTGGAGAATGCTTCCGGTAGTGATTATAAAATTGTTGATAAAGATAATAATGAGATTAAAATGCAATTTCAGAGCTACTTGACTGGTAGATTTTTTACAAATGATACGGACAATAATAATTACATCCTTTCCAAGTTAGAAAATCCGAATAATGGGGAAAAAGATGATACTAAAATATCAAGGGATCCGAATATAAAAATGGATCCAAAGGTTATTTCTTGCTACCGAAGGAATTACATACAGATATCTATGAATATGAATTTATCGGGATTCTCAAATGATGATGAAGAGAATAATAAAGTTTTGAAGCTCCAAACCAATGAATATGGATATTCTATCACACGGGTTATTAAGTGGTTCAAGGTAGAAATTTTTGCCAATACGAATGTCTCGGAAATTAGAAATATTCCTATTGTAATCTATGATGATAACAACCAAAGAGACAAGGAAAGGCCTAAAGATGAAATTGATACCGATGAAAATTATGATTTTGTAAATCCGATTTCCATTGATAAAGCTCAATCAACTATTACCTTAAACGAATCGGTTATTAAGAATTCTGAGATAGATAATTACTATACAGTTAAAAAACTACAATTCAAGAATGCAACTCCAAATAATGGTAACCTAACATTCCAAAATTATTATCATCTAAAAATCAAGGTCAGTGCAATAGTAGCTGATTTATATTACGATGATTATATTGATGAAGATTATTCCAGTAATACATACAACGAGAGAAACGAAGTTAGTCTATTTGAATTGGTAAGTGAACCAATTATTGTTAGGGGAAGAAACCCATCATTTTACGCTGATCGTAAAGACATTTTAATCAAGGGAAGGTCGATTAATTCTAAGGAAAGTTTCATTATTGCTGGTCAAGAAACTAAAACAGAAAACGAGGAGGCAAATTCAATTGAAGAAAATGAAGATCTTCCTGAAGATGAAGAAGATGTAGAGAATGTTCGCGAAGACGATGAAGAAGAGGAGGACGACGAGACAGAAAATGAATCTTCGTCTAATAAAAGGCTTAAAAGTAACTCTCCGTCAAAATCGCAAGCGTCTATCCCTCCATTGTTATATAATGCGACGTCGTCTTCATCAATTAATCTAAAATCAATGTTAGACAATTCTACATCAAAAATAAATTTGATTCCACTAAACAAGACGAACAGCAGATATAAATATTTTCCTATTTCCAACGTATATTATTTACCACCGATTAATGCTGTTTATTTCCCACATAGAGCTCATCAACAAATGAACAAAGAATCTGATGCAACTAATTCCAAATCACCATCTATAGAAAATGATGATGCAAGCAATATGGTAAATATTTCAAGCCCTCAACGACGCAAAAATTCGAATGTGTATTTTAGATAATTGTATAATATGTATATTTGACGTTAATTTACTTACGACAATACAGCGATTTTTAACAAAATAGGACTACGAAAGTTACTTAGGATAAATATTTCATAAATTCTTTTTTAACCTATTCAGAACCAATAAATAACTATAAAATCATGAATTAGAAATTATTGACTTATTCTCTAACAAGAATAGAAGCAGCACCCATACCGGAACCAATACACATAGATGTAAGACCGATTTCACCCTTCTTTAATAATCTTAAAATAGTGGCGTATTGTCTGGTACCTGTACCACCTAATGGATGACCAAGAGAAATTCCACCACCGTTTATGTTTAATTTTTCTTCTGGAACCTTACAGACTTGAGCAGAGTATAAACATTGAGCAGCGAAAGCTTCGTTAATTTCGAATACATCGATGTCACTAATAGTTAAACCAGTCTTCTTTAAGACTTGTGGGATGGCAACAGCTGGGCCAATACCCATGATTTCTGGTGGAACACCAACAGTAGAACATAAAACGAACTTCCCTTCAATTGGGTAACCCTTTTGTTCAGCAAGAGATCTTCTCATTAATAAGACACCGGACGCACCATCTGAAACTTGGGAAGAGTTACCGGCGTGGGTAGAACCATCTGACTTGAAAGCAGGTCTAATCTTAGATAATGAAGCGGCAGTAACACCTTCTCTTGGGCATTCGTCGGTGTCAATAATAGCGTTCTTGTATGTGACATTGTCGTCGTCATCTTCTCCTTCAATAAAAGCGGTTTGAATTGGCAAAATTTCATCCTTGAAGGCACCACGTTTGACGGCTGCACTTGCCTTAGCATAAGACTTCGCAGCGAATTCATCTTGGACATCTCTTGGAATGTTGAATTTGGTAGCAACATTTTCATTAGTGATACCCATAGGAATCATACACTTTTCCATTTCTGGATCATCAGCTAAGTTTGGATCAGACTGAGAAAGTGCTTGTGGACCCCAGTTGGCGGACATCGATTCTGAACCAGTAGCTAATCCACAGTCGATTTCACCACACTTAATCTTGTTGGCAATTTCAGAAATCGCCATCAAACCAGAAGAACATAATCTGTTCAAAGCGATGAAACCAGCGGTGTATGGAATACCAGCAGAAAGACAAGCACCACGATGTTCATTGGCACCTGCACCTCTGTTTAAAACGTTACCACAGGCAACATCTTCAATCAAGCTTGGGTCAACATTGGTCTTCTTGATGAATTCCACTAAGAAGTTTCTCAAGATATAATCGGATTTAACGTCCTTGAATCCACCCTTAAGACCCTTGGTAATGGCGGTTCTGTAAGCAGCAACGATAACAACATCGTCTGGGTTCTTTTCAAGTAAGGCCTGTTTAGAGGATGGGTTTAATTGTCCAGCAAGTTGATTTAATCTGTCCATTTTGTAATTAGTTTAAACTAGTATATGTATTATCTAAATGATACTAACGAATAATACTGAAAATTAGTTTGATGGCATATTCATTTGCTTTATATGTAATCGAGTGTCACAGGATGAGGAAATTATACCTCCGCATTTTTGAAAAGCCCGAGGCCACTAATATAACCGAGGATGGGATTTTGTTCCGTTCATTACATTCTTCCAGGCTCTAATCACACTTCCCCATAGAGTGGAGAACATGCAAATTAGCCTGGAACATACAAATTAGTCTGTAACATACAAATTAGCCTTGAATATATTTCGAATTACAGTAATGAAGACCTTAACTATCTCTTTACGAAATGTCATAACGCGGCAGAGAGAAGAACAAATATAACTGCCCACAGATGCGAGATTCATACTCCTCGGTCCAGTCACATTTTATGGTATATGAGGTGCGGTGTGTATTATTGGTGTGTGATATTTGGCACAGTTATTATATCAATATCATTATTATTATATAGGATATGTGATTAGTGCGATAACGGAATTTACGTAGTAGCACATTTTGTACTTCGGTTTATTATTCCGAGGTGTAGCAGCATATCCAAGTTTGAGTGTTGGGTAAAAGTAACTAAGGTAGCTTTTGGTAGTATTAGATATATATATGTGTGGATTATTATCTGGCTTTTAAAGGAGCAGGAGCTTGGGCTAGATGACTATCGAGTATGCAGACATACAAAGGCTTTCGCTGGCGTAATGTAGAATTACTGTAGTAATTTATTCTTCACGTTCGAAAGAAAAAATCCCAATAAACGGCTCAACTTTATCAGGTCTTCCGTCGGGACACTTACCTCTAAAAACTAGAGCTGGGATATCATTTTGGGGGGACAATTCTTCGTCCAAGCCACTTTTTCCTTCGCTCGAGTTCGAGTTATCAAGTGGACTTTTTAAGGATGAAGGGTACGAATTATCGCCACTGGTAGCTGTGGGTGACATGCTTATACTAGGATTATGATCTCCTTTGAGGCTTCCTTCCCTGTCTCGTTGATTTTCGCTATCTTTACTATTGTTGCGTTTCGGGAGGGTGAAGATCTTGGTGAAGTCAATTCTGAGCATTCCCTGTTCATCTACCACAACATAGAGTTTGTATTTTTGATCAATTAAGTCCTGGCTGTCGTTGTAGTGTATTAATCCTTTCGTAGAGCCCGTGATTAATCCCATGGTAGACCCAATTCCCATTATATTGGACCCTTTTACTTTAATGTATAGCCCTGATAGTCCGAAAGGCGAACAATGTATTTCTAAATCGCATTCATTGGCATACTGGAATTTAAGTTCTTCTGTATCCATGTTGTATATATGTGCCTAGAGTATTAAACAGTTATTTTATTATACTAGTATTTTCTGATGAGAATATTTCTTGCGTTTTGTTTATGCTCGGAATTATATATTGCATATACACACTATACGTAGTTCATAATAAAAGCACTGCAGTGCTATTAAATTCTTTCTCATTCAAACAGAACACACCTAAATAATTAATCAACCAATTCATAACAAAAGTTAGGTTAACATCTCTAAATTTGTAATTGCCAAAATTGCGGACTACATTCTGTTCGATCAATTTAATCGCCTGTACATCCCTAATATCCCCATGTTTTGCAAGCAAATGCTCACTGAAGTTAGTGGGTATGCTAATAGTGAGTCTTGATTCTGGATAATTAAATGGAATATTCAAGAAGATTTCTACGCTCCCATGCAAATTCCATATTTCTGGAGCAACCGGTTTAAAAATATTGTCGGTGTGTTCGTTATATACTGGTAGAATTATCTTATATTTCGTAGTTAAATTCTTTTTCAATAACTTCACATTTGGTCCAAACTTATTGATCATTTCATCTATCAATTGATTTCTCAGGTCCAAAATAACTGGCGATGGTGACGCTGATGGAGACATGGACCTTGGAGTAGGTACAGGTGAGCTTGATGGGGTATCTAACATAGACATCTGAGGTGTTAATTTTTTCTTCAGTTTGACAAATTTTATAGTGTCTCTCTTCTTCTGCTTTAAGAAAAGCTCTAAATACTTATCAAGGGTCTGTAATTGCGATAATAACCCCTTACCACTGACTAATTCTAGTTCTTCATCAACCTCATTATTCATGGCCATCGCCACAATTCTCTTAAATCCTAACTCGATGTTAGCAGCAAAACCTTTAGGTATTTCATCATTCAAAATGTAAATTGTTGGCCTAGACTCCTTATTATATGGGTATGTGTATGGTATGCATAAGCTTAGTTTCAACGATTCCAAGTCGAATGGAAAATCCGGATCTGATGGGTTTATGATAAATGAAAAGTAAATTGGTTTGCTCGGTTGGTTTGTGAATATTCTAGTTATATAACGCTTAAGTATTTCGTTTTGAATCTTACTTTTGGATTGCTTTTGATTTCTTTCTTTACCATTGCCGCTTTGTTCAGGATTTATTACTTTATTCTGTTGTTCTTGTTCATTTTCTTTTTTTTCTTCTTGTTTTACAATAGTTGTCACCGGGATACCATTAATTGTGATTGGTTTGAATTTTCGAATTAACTTAAATATCTCAAGTACCTTATAATCACTATTTATATCCCTTGGTTTAGTCGTCTTCTTGTTAGTCTTTTTTTCAGCGATCGCTGATACGTTCGATTTACTTGGCCTGTGTCTACCATTATTTCTGGACGTTCTATTATTTGATCTCGTCTTATTTTTGGTCTTCAGTTCGTTACCATGAGATAAACTCGTACCTTCGGACATTCTGAGTTGAACAATTAAAAGAAAAAATTATCAATATTTCAACTTTTCAAAAATTTAGAGAAAATTATTTTAGATCAAAATTTTTCGATTTATGTCATGAAACCTACATTTTTAAAATGTTTACAAGGCATAGATAAGAATCACGCTTATAAACAAATTAATATAATTGATATACACTCTAGGTATTTGATTATAAATAAGCCCTCGGGTATCCAATGTAACGGTACAAAAAGTCATTCAAACTATTTACTTCCTCAATTATACAAACAGCTAAAGGCTCATTTTTCAGCAGATAACCCAAACTATAAATTGAATCCCGATCAGTATAAAGTAGCTCATCGATTAGATAAATATGTCAGTGGGGGTTTAATTATTGCTCGAGGAAAGAATGTAAATGCTTTCAGGAAATCATTTTCTAATCAAAATACCAATCTATCAGTTACACGGAAATATATTGCATTGATTCCTATTCCCAATACTGTAAGCTTCAAACAGTATCTACATAAATTTGGAGATCTAAAGGTCCAACACGAAAGTGAAGTAAGGCATTTGAATTGCCCAGAAAGTGTCACAGACAAAAAAGGACTTATATTTAAAGACGACCTGCTAGCTGAAGGTATCATAAACTTTGATATCGTTGCTCTACCAAAAGACGATAGAAGAAATAAGAATACTGGAGAATTAGTGACTTATAATGCATTAACCAAATTCAAAATCTTGCATTCTATGTTTCACGTACCTACAATTGAACAAATATCAAGATTTCCCAAGTTGTACAAGAACAAGACAATATATCCAATAATAATCGAATTACAAACGGGTAGAAAAAATCAAATCAGAGATCATATTCTACAAGCTTTCAAGGTCTCGTTATTGAACGACGATAAATTTATTGACTTCAAAATGGTTCAGAAATCTAATACTGCCAATATCAATAGCGAAGTATACAATAGTAACCAGATTGGCTTACATTCAGCCTATATAAGCATTCTGAAAAGTTCCTTCGCAAACGAATATGTAATCCCAATTCCGGAAGGTGACGAATATCTCTGGAAGGGATTCCTCGATGAAAAATCGTTTATTGAGACGATTAATCATGAACTTATTAACTTCTAGTTACCCATAGAATATAAATTTTGAATAACATTTTACTCTTACGTGTAATAGAGTATATTTGCTTCATCCATCTCGGAACCTTCTTAAAAACTCCGAAGCTCTGTCAGAGGAGATTCCTCATTTATCGTCACGTGAATTTTATCTTATCATTTAATCACGTCTCCTTCTACAATTATTAAATGTATCATGCTCTTAGAACATAATAATAATAAGTATGTCTGGAATAAACAAGATGGACAAAACTAATAGCAAATATGATTCGGAGGTAAATCAATCAATTACTTCTTCGTCTCTAAAAAAGGTGTTGAATTCCCATCTGTCAATATATAATGCGTTGACTAATCCAGATTTAGACGTTTCTCCTCAGCTTAATAGTGACGCCAGCGGTAAATACCTTCCGGAAATGAATGAACAGTTCTCTATAACTTCATGGCAATCTATAGGTAATGAATCGTTTAATGATTTGAATTATTCGAAGGAAAAGGTGTCGTCGTCTATTTTGTCTAGTGTTTCTGATGAAGAGGACAAGGAGAAGGAATCTGCAGTTCTAGTACCTTACCCCACGAGGGATAAAGTAATGGTATTTGAAACAGATGAGGAAGATGAAGATATTGATGAAGATAGGACGCTAAGTCCGAATATCCAATGTTTTAACCTAGGCGAGAATCCGAATTCATTTATAATGCCCAAGCTCACAGTTTCGGATAATATATCAAACAAAACTCGCTACATATTTCAAATTAGTGTATTGAGCTCGCCTAATTATGGAAATCATACTGAAACCTATCAACTAATTAAATATCTTGAAAAGGAATTTAGCAGCCCTTTGATCAAATTCAATCATTTTATAGTTAATCCAAAGCTCCTGCTATTTGATGAGAAAATAATTAGAGAGTCTAATTTGGTTCTTGTGATTAATGATGGATCATCTATATTCGTTAATTATTTATGCAGAATTTTTGGGATTGTTGATGGGATAGATTCGGATAGTTTGGATAGCCTACCTAAGCTAACTATTATCAACATGCTTACCGTTAATTACTTTGTTAATTTATTTGATTTATTGAATAATTTACGGCCTTACCAAATATGGAAAACCTCATCATTAAAACAAGATAACTTATTGAAGAATCTAAAAACTTTGATTGAAATCGAATTTGGCCCATTGAAAGAAGAATACTTAAATAAGACGCTTACAACGAGAGATAAGAACTTAAGCTTGACTATAAATAATAATTTTATGTATTCGAGTTTAGTTCCAAGCAAAAAGCCTGACTATAAATCTATTGAAAGAAGTTTCAAATCCGAACTTCAATTGAGTACTAATATTGATAATATTGATCCTTTACAATTATCTTCGAGCTTCTCAAGTTTAAAGGTATTCAATTCGATTATCAAGAAGTTATTTGCATTTAACTCAGCTTCTGCTTCAAACGGAAATTCTTATAGCTACAATAGGTTGTGGTTGATTTGTAGTTTTACAATTGGCATTGGTATAGGTGTAGGAATTGCAAATGGTGCAGCAGCAATTCTAAATTTTTATTTCTACAACAATTACTTGACATCAGGGTTAAATTCACCTAATTTTTTTGATTCGAAGCAACTAGCTGATGATACGGATTTCACAAGCACGCAAATCAACAATTCTGTGGCAAATTTCTCTAATAATTTAATGGATTCATTAAAGAAATGTGCTAATGATTTGAAAGAGTTGAAGTGTTTCAAAGAGATTTCCGAGTTGCCTGGTAACTTAAGGTTAGCAAGTTCAACGGTGATTGATTATTTTAAGGGCGGTTTAGAGAAACTAACTAGTTTCTTTTTGTACAGTAATCATTGATCAATTTTCAATTCTATTTAATTAAAATTGGCTAATATATGGTGGCTTTGGGTTTAATATATATATATGGGTATTATTTTTAATATATGCAGATTAAAATTTTAAAAGTAATACAAAAAAATAACGACAGCTGCAGGATTCGAACCTGCGCGGGCAAAGCCCAAAAGATTTCTAATCTTTCTCCTTAACCACTCGGACAAGCTGCCTTAGTCGTGGAATTGTGTAAGAGAACACAAGTATACATATATGGACTATATATATGTTACATCATGGTTGCAAAAGTTGGTGTATAAATAGAGGTGATATTCCTTTCTGACTTTCTAGCAAACTTCTTCAGGTCTTTCAGCACGTCAAATCCGACCTGTTTATTTGACTGCCTCAGTTTTTTGATTTATTAGGACATCAGTTTGAATATTTTGTTTAAAATTGGGTTTTTTAAAATTATTTCTATTCCAATTTGTATCTCTGGTATTGATCATCATATATCATTGCTATTCTTTGAGAGAAGCTCAAAGAATATGGACTTTTACATTTAACTTCTCTTCTAATTTTTGGTTTCAATTGGGTCAAATAAGTATTTATTTTAATATCTTCATGTAAATAGTCTGCAGGTAAATCTTCAAGTAATTTATCAAATTGTTTATTAAAATTTTCAACTGATACGGTTTTTACTAAGCCAAGTAAACGATAATGATGCGATTGGACATCATATCCTTCACCAAAGTGGGTTTCTAAGGCCAGTATAAACTGATCGAATGTACTTATATGGTTACTATCATCTTTCATGTATTGATTAAGCCAATTTTCAGCTTTACCTTTCATATTTCTACCTGCTACTGTAATGAGTTGTCGACTATTAAGATTAAATCCTTCAGAAATTCTTTCAATTTCATTTTTAAATTCTTGGATCTTGCTAGGATTTTTAATGCCTGAATACGGTTTAACATTAGCCAGTGTAAGAAACACTCTAGTCTCTCTATCAAAAGCTTCCAGTCGAGCCAATTCTCTTCCTCGGATAAATTGTTCTCTAGCAAGTTCTCTTTCCTGTTGTTGTTGTTCTCGAAATAATTCTCTTTCTTTTAGTTGATGTTGTTCCCTTCTTTGATTCTCTTCTCTAAGTTCCTTTATCAACTCATTTATTTGTTCTGGACTTCTTGACATTTTATTTCACTTTTATATTCTGATGCTCTGATCTTGCTTGCGGCGCTACCAATTGTAAGGAAACTGGGTACTAATATGGTAATTACTTATATTCTGTATACTATATATATGCTCTATAGACCAAATAGAACTTATCTTAACTTACTTTATTACTCTTAGCTAACTAACTAACTTTAACTACCTATAATTAGTTCCTAATTTCCTTCGTTCCTTTCGTCTATCCAGACTCACGGAATAATCACCTCTATTTATACACCAACTTTTGCAACACGACATATATATAGTCCATATATGTATACTTGTGTTCTCTTACAGATTGTAAGAGTTCACAATCAAATATATAGTTTTATTGCATTCAGTCACCTCGTGAAACATGTGCTATTATTGTTTTTAATATTGTTGCTACTTATTATCGAGAATAGATACTGTATTAATATAACAAGAGTTATAGCGAGATCAGAAAATCTGCTAAAGAGAATTCATTTGAAGCATATCTTGTAGCATATATGCAACTTTACCAAAATGTCAAAGATAATAGGTAATGACGGAAACAGAATTTAAGGGACATTGTATTAGCCCGATATATTTAGTGAAAAAATATTGCAAATCTTGATAAACCCAGGAACATTGAGTATTTTTATTATTGCATGTTACCCGAGAAAATTCAGCCATTAAATAGAGACAGGAGAAAGTTTGCTAGAACACGAAATTATTCTTGAATTCACCTTTTCATAGTTTATCGTAATTAAACATAGATAATTACAAATTACCAAGAATTGTGAAATATTGCAAAAATCAAATATATTTATTGAGTATTAATTCTTATCCCATTTTCAACTTGTATGAGATTCTTAAGATCTTACTAATGTTAATGTTAGGTTACAACTAGGGCTTAAAAACTATTATGAATTGGGAATCTTATTTTTGGCCATATTAGTCTATGTAAATAGCGATATTATTTCACTTTCTATAAATTGGGCGTGTGGCGTAGTTGGTAGCGCGCTCCCTTAGCATGGGAGAGGTCTCCGGTTCGACTCCGGACTCGTCCATATTTTTTATACATAACTAATATTCTTATTTGGTTAAATCAAACACTACTTTATTTACTTTATGTTTATCAAATATATCGAATGCTTTCTTTGATTCGTCTAATCCAAGCTTGCAGTCAATAAATCTTGTAAAATCTGGTTTTAAAACCTCAAATAATCCCAAGGCCTCAGGAAATAATGACCAGGCATGACACCTTCCGAAAGAAATATTGACGTTCTTCACGTAGCAATCCAATCCTGTAAATGGTAATGGATCATGAGCCATACCAATGGAGCAGATAAAACCATTTCCTCTTACTGAATCATAGGCAGTTCTTAAAGCAGAGGATGCACCCACAACCTCTAAAACAACATCAAACCCCACATTATTAGTCGACTCTTTGATGAAATCGGCAACTCCATTTTTTTCAGTTTCAAAATTGATAGTTTTGAAGGCACCAAACCGCTTAGCTTCCTCTAATCGTGATGCGACACTATCAACACAAACGACTTTTCCAAATCCGAAATGCTTAAGAATTCTTAAAGCACATAAACCAACGGGCCCCACTCCTAATTGCAAAATCGTAATATCCTTTATATCCGATTTAATGTATCCATCTGCAGATTCATTTTTTAAATGATTTAATATTTTCTTAACTCCATAATAACCAGTAATAAAAATATCTGCCATCATTACATAGACCGCATCATCTTCAGTTGAATTACTTTTTGGCTTCTTAATTAAAGTTGACATAGCATAGGGAACCCTTACATACTCTGCCTGGCCTCCATCCAACCCCAGTTTTCCGAAAGTATTTGTCTTATCACATTGCCCAGAATATCCATGTTTGCAATACCAACATTCTCCACATTGGATAGTAAAAGTACTTAATACATCATCTCCAATTTTAAAGTCCGAATCTGTGATTTCAGATCCTTTCGATACAATTGTACCTAAGAATTCATGTCCTATAATTTGATCCTTTGATCCTAGTTTAATATGTCCTCTGTAGGTATGTAAATCAGTTCCACATAAGCCTGAATATTTAACTTTCAAGATTACATCTGTTGGGTCTTGAATCGTTGGGCTCTGTTTAATTACAGTAGAAACTTCGTAGGGCCCACTAAGGACGATAGCTTTCATAGTTTGAGGGATTGATGTATTCATGTCAGATGTTGCTTTTGTTGATATAATATTAAACCACGGCTACAGTTATTTATTTTTCACTATTTGTTAGAATGTGCGAGGGGTGAATTGTGGAGAAGCACTAGATTCGAATGAGCGATTTATAACGATAAATATGCATTGAATATAGACAAACTATATTATATTATGTAGAGTATTCCAAACTATGCGACCCAAACCGGCGTATATATCTTTATAATGTAGAACTTGCTTCCCCATATTAACTGTACAGAAAAAAAGGACATTGAGGCATATTAAGTCGCCACCAAGTGCATAGAATAAATAAAGTACAACCGTAGATATTGTCAATGACCATGAAAAGTTTGATTCCTTAGTTGTCATTGAAGGGAAAAAATCACTCATGATTCGGGAAAATCTGAAAATTAACGTATCTTCGTGAAGGTCACACTCTGTCTTGATGTTTCCATCGTTGCTAAATGTAACACAGGTCATGTTTATTAAACTGGAAACCCAATTATATGCTGCTGTTGTGGCTACTTTCCAAGTAGAATACGTATGAAAGTCTGCGTCATCTTTAAAGTAGAAAATACCTTTCGATCCCCCAACTATAGTTTGGTGTCTTTCAAGAAGTCCTGAATCATTTCTGAACATGAAGGTGATTATATCCCGTAAGAAATTATTTGAAAAAGTAAGTAAATTACTAAATATAAATAAGTTTCTCAAAATATTATGCAAATAAGCACTGGATGCTATAATAAATAAACTGAATCTAATTACTCTCACTAAAGTTGTCATTACAATTCTTGCAAGCCTAATTAACGACTCTTGGATATTATTGGGACCAAATCTCCTCCAAAGGCGACTGTAGTGAAAAATTGGAAGTGGAAATAATCCAAATTTCCATAAAAAGGAGACATAACTATCTGAACATTTCTGTTCCCGTTCCCTTTGTTTTTGAAAATATTCATTAATGTTTCTAGAAGTCAACAACTCATTTATTCTGTCCAACCTTTCATTTTGCTCTTGTAAAGGCAAATCAGTAAACAAGTCTGCGAACTGCCCTCTATTGAAAATTTCTACAAGATCCGTATCAAGCTCCCGAAAAATATCAATTTGATCCAAGCCATCAATATCTTCATCCGCTAGATGCATTTTTATTATATTTGTTATGAATATCTCGATAAAAAAGTCATTCTATCGTAAGAACTTTTTGCGAAGAATTATGTCAAGAGAATATCCTCATAATACGTTCTCTGCAGTCTTATCAGAATTTCATATTTTAGTTATTTTTGCTTATAAAATGACATAGTTATTCTGTAGAGAGGATTCATTCGAAATTTTGAACTAATTTCAAAATGAAATCGGGCATGCTCCCATGATATCTGATGAAAGAATCACTCCATAAATAAATTAAATCTTTACTAAATTCAAGGTGTTCCTGAATTATATTTCCAGGTAGTTTTATATGACCCTTGAGTTTATGTTTGATTTGATATTCAGAGATAAAGATAAACCGTTTGCCATTGTAAGAAGAATTCTCATCATAGAACAGATCAACGAGGATTAATTTATTAAGATCATCAAAAATCTGAGGGATTAAAAATGTGTTTCCATTATTTATGTCCCAAACATTCTCCTTTTCTTCCTCATTCAATGAATCCCACAACGCATGTATTTTATATACTATTTCCCAGCCATTGGTATAATTTTGTATTAAATTATCCGTTGCAAAAAATTTGTATTTTTCGTTCTCTGATAGATTCAATGGGCCATAATCATGCTCTATTACGAAGTAATTTCTCAATTGTATAAAGAACCAGAATGTTTTTAGATGAATACCTCCATATAATAACATTCCCCATATGAATCTGTCATATAGAATTATAGAACTGGGATCATCGTGTGCCTTCAAAGTTGCAGCAATTAAATATTTTCTCATCAGTTCACCTAAGTATAATTTAGAATATCGGGAACAGGTAGTCATTACTACTTGCTCCTTATTTTCCACCTTTATATTAGTACTCTCTATTTTTGATAACCTTTCATATATAAAGCCACAGGAAATGAAGTAAGCACTTAGTCTGCCACTCAGGTATTCTGTTGTAATATTGATGTCATCAATTGCAACCAATCTAGATAATATGCAGCCTAACTCCTGTTCGCTGCACTCCAATTTGCCTAAATTGTAGCATTGGCAGAAAAGTATACTAACCACACGTTTAGTAACTGAAGATAAATATTCATTTTTATTTGTGAAGAATTTGAATTTTTTATCCAAGGCTGCGAAAAAATTTATGATCCATTTAAAGATATGAGTGGCTTCTTGATATTTCTCATTCAAGTACTTTAAAAATCCCAATACTATTTGATGTTTAATTATTAAGCCACATAGTGACATAAGGGTCCTCGAAGAGCTTTTGTGATTCCACCTATGCAATTGTTTTGCAAGTGTTTTTGGGTCAATTGAATAATCAATTTCTGGATGTCTATCAATTTCATAGTTAATAAATTCATTTATCATATCCTCTTTCTTCTTTAACTCTTCGAACACATATAGCGGACCAAAATATTTTATAGCTGTAAAAAGTTTGTGTAATGGATCGGATACATGAAGCTTATTGGAATTTGACTTCCATAAATTTAGACCTTCAAGTGCTTCATCTACAAGCCTTTTCGTAACAATACAGCACCTTCCTAAAGAAAAATCGTTTAGTCTTCCATCAAATTTAATATAAGCCTCGGCTTGTTCATGTATTGGAATAAATTTGGTATTACTTATTCTTAATGAAGTTAGTATTAAATGTCGTCTAAACCAATTGTTCCGTATATGTACTCACATTTCCATTCCTCCTTTTTCATAACAATTTAAGTATTCATTTAGTTCAGATTCATATCTGTCCACTCGTTCTTGAATTCTTGGTACTTTAGCTTCATTTTCGCTGCTAATAAGAAGATCTAATTTGGCCATATTAATAAGTTCTTCGAAGGAGTATACAGCGCATTCTAACAGTCCTAATGTTTTGAATATTTGAATCAAATACTTTATCAATTTCTCCTTCTCAGCCTGATTTGTGGAAATCTCTATTGTAATGGATAACTCCCGCAAAGCAGGTCCAACTCTACCGAGTTTGAACAATGTAAGAGAAATAATAATGCGAGCTGAAGCGGGCAAGTTCAGATACTTATTTAAAGATGGAATAAGTGTTAAAATTTCGTAGTATTCATTGGCATTAAATAATTTCGATAAGTCTTGCGAAACCCTTATGATATTACTTGAAGAGAGCGATTCATTATCGCCTAAGGTCGAGTCCTCGGACAAATTGTGGTCTGAATATGCCTCCTTATCGGATTCAATAATAACCTCTTTACAATTAGACATTTTCCTAAATACAGAATAATAGACGGTAGGTAGGTGTAAGCAGAAGTGTATTATTATATCTGTGGATGCAAAATCTATAAAATCAAAAATAATCGTGTAATAACCAAAATAACAAAACTGACTAGCTACTAGCAAGATCAAAGAATGTCTTATGGTCCATATGACGTAGCTTTCTCGACGCATTTTTATGGCTGACGAGCTTTGGATCTTCGCTGTTACAAAGTTTCAACAATTTCAAACAATATTGATAGCATTTAAAACATATGTTCGGGTCCACATTTAAAAACAGATTTACGGATTTGATTGAAAGTTGTAATTGATTGTCATCAGTTCCGAATCTTTCTTTAGCTTCAAACATAACGACAATCAACATAGACGCAAATAAGCTCTTCATATCATAGGCGACCAGAATCGGTAATGACGAAAGTACCTCTATTAGAGACACAGTATTTTTTAAAATTTCTCCCACCTTAGTATTCTGTTCTGTAGCACCACTATCTTGACACAACGTTCTTAATAAATCATCTCTAATCGAATAGGGTAAGTGGAGGTTCAAATCAAAATTCAAATGTTTTAAGATGAGCTCTTCTCTGTATAACAATTGATCTCTCCAGCTCCAAAAAACATCACTTTGCTCGTCAATCTTTTTGTTCGGATTCTTTATTACGCATCCTGCCATTGCAATCTTATCTGGTGGCCTGTAATTGTCATTTAATTTGCAAGATATTGCTATCGCAGCACAAGCAACATAGTATTTCGAAGTGGTTATGGGCATTCTCATGTAAAATCTATTTATATAAATCGTAGCTGCCAATATTGTCCTGCTATCCAATTTAAGCCCAGAACCTAGTCGAATAACAAAATCATGCAAACTTTCTCTAGTCTTTAATTCTTGCGTAACCGTTAATTGTTTCCGACTTGGAGAATACTTTATAAACGAATCCTCCAGAAATAACCACGTATTATCATCAGGAACCGTAGAATGCTCTCTTATTTCGCCTCCATTCTTTCTATTAGGCTCGCGATCCTCTTTCAGCATTTTGTCCTCCAATAGCGACTAATATAGATACTAGTGATGTATTTTATAACTACTAAATAGGAATCGTGCGACACACATAAATTACAAATGGTAGTTGTTATATATGTATTAACAAGAGTCTGGTGAACAGTAGCTAGAATATGAAGTCAAAGAGGTTTTGGTGAATAGTATGATTTATTACAAATGGTGAACATATTATTATATCTGATAGAGAAACAAACACGATATGATTATAAAGTCGCCCATCTAACCAAGTTTCAGTTAGGAGAAATTTGACTAATTCAAAAATAACAATAAATTAAATTATGTTATTATCCACAGTGTTCATTATTGCGTTTTAAAACACTCGTAGACATGTACTGATATAGATATATATACTTCTAGAGATATTCATTCATCGATAGTATCAACGAATCAGCCTGCAACACCGATACTGCATATAACCAACTGGCAATTTTTTCAATAAAATTCGTTCATCAATCTTCAGTCAGTAATGAAAAAACTTCAATAGCACATAACATACGTTAAAACAGCAAATATGTCTGAAGAAACATCTTTTATGCACTTGGTTAGACCAAGCGTTGCTGCGCCAGCTGCATCTTCGACTACTGGACCATGTAATATCAGAATTGATACTTCTGCGTGTTTTCAAATTTTAGAGATCGTTTCCAAGCAAGTTCTTTCATCGAATAAGAGAATTATTGGTACATTAGTGGGATTTAGATCAGATGATGGAAGTGAATTTGATGTCAGAGATGCTTTTATGGTTCCATGCACTGAAACAGGTGATTCAATATCTATTGACGATCATGCTCATAAAGCTCTTTACCAATTATATAAGAAAGCTCACCCTAAAGAACATGTTTTAGGATGGTTCGATAGTTCTAACAAGATAGATGCAAACACTGGATTAATTCATGACTTTTATTCTAAAGGTACCGATCGTGCTTATCCGTTCCCAGCGATCTATTTAAATGTTGAATACTTGGGAGAAAACCAAGAAATAACTTTCCCTAAGATTTCTACTTACATCGGTGCAGCTATCGGTAAATTAAGCTCTAATACACCAAAGATTGGCTGGAATACGGCTAATACTACCAGCTCTTATATTTTTACTCCAGTTCCAAATAAAGTTATAAATAGTACCATCAGTGAAAAGCTTGTTATTAATCATTTATCCGAAAACCAACAGAACAACGAACCAATTTCAGTCTCAGCAAATTCAAGAACGTTATCTCATTTATCCAACCAATTAAGCTCGGTTGGCGAAACAATTGACAAATTATTGGCCTATATCGAATCCACATCTAATTCAGATAGTGATATCGATTTATTAAGATTGTTAAGTAATACTTTATTAAACAAACCTCAATACTTGACTGACTTAAAGGAATTGGAATACCATTTCCGTGCCCACAATCAAGATGTTATTATGATCGAATATTTGACTAAAGCTGTCAAGGAACAAATTGAGTTAAGTGCAAGATTAACTGCTAGCTCAGAAGCTGATAAGAAATGAGTTTTAGGGGAATCATTTTTTTATAATTCTTACATTTTTATATACTAGTATTTAATAAACTTCACATTCCGGTAACCTATATAGTTCTTTACTGTTGTAAAATGTCTAATTTAAATGTGTAGTTAAATCTTGTATGGTGATCGACTATTGTGGCTTGCTGAAATTTTCACAGCTCATCTCAAAATTTCTCATCTATCAAGTTAACTTATCAAATAACCTTTTACTCAGAATAGCATAGTTAAATTGAAACTTAATTAACTATATATATTAACTAGCAACCGTTACATTTGAATATCAGTTACTTCATTTTGTAAAATTTATTCGGTGTTGAGTTTCTCGTGGGTTAAATATAAAAACAACGAAACATACTAAGATTGTTTCTGATTCCATTGAGATATTAATCGAGTATTAACCAAGTGTTCTATATTATGTATCATTCATACTTCAAAGCTTATTCATTTATTTCAAAATTTCCTGATTCGAAGCATAGTCAAATCACTGTTTAACTTAAAGTAATTTTTATTGAGGATAGAGATAACAACACATAATACAAATAATCAATACTAGATATGGCTAAAAGTCCCAAGAAGTCGGGGGCTAACTCTAGGGGGAGCTCACGCTCCCAAACACCGTATAATAAAGATGTTTCACCCAAAGTTGGTGGAAAGAAAATTAAAGCATATAAGAAAAATTTCATTAAACCTCCTCAACGACGTTTCAGTATAGCCGATACAAGCTCATCAGCCTCGAATTCTGAATCAGAGAATGAGAGAAAGCATAATTATTATGAAACTAACAATTATAATTCAGGCTCCGACTCAGATTCTTCTTTAACTGCGGTGACTGATAACGATGAGGCAGAGGCGTCGAGAAAAGGTTCTGTATTCTTTGAGAGTGCTGATAATGAAGAGTTAAATAAACCAATGAAGAAGTCTCCTAAGAAAACTAAACAGACTAACAAGAATACGTACCAGCCAACAAGATCAGCTAAAAAGTCAAATAATGTTGCCAAGAAGAGAACCCCAAAAAAGACCGTTAATTGGAATCAATGGGATAATCAATTCAATGAAGATGCTATTTCAGAAAGATCAGAATCTTCATCTGACGAGGATAAAGTTGGACTAGGAGGATTGTACTCCATGATGAACCACCAGAAACAGGCTCAATCAGACTCAGATGATTCGGAATCAGAATCAGACGAAGAAGAACACGATTATTCTTCCTCTGACGACTCGGATGTTGACTTCGTCAAATTACAAGCTGAGAGAAAGGCTAAATCGATGAAAGCAGTTAGGGCTATGAAAGGGTTATCGAATCAACAAGAAGATCACTACCAAGATGATTCAGATTCAGAAATATCGGAGCCTGTACAGGAGAGAAAGATGAACAGAAATAGAAGACGAAGTAGTTCAATGTCAAAACCAAAGTTTGGTAGAAGGAAATCCGATGTCGCATTGCCAGATATCAATTTCAAATTCGAATTTGATGATTATAATAAGTTTGATAACGCCATAATTGATGAAGAGGACGAAGAAGATGAACCACATGGGATTGAAAAAGACCAATCCTTAAGCGGTGGAGACCAGGAGGAGGATATCGGTGAGGAAGTAAGTTATGCTGCTCCTATTAATAAGAAACAATATGCCTCTAATGATAATGATAATAATGACAATGCCACTAATCACAATTTTGAATTCGACTTCGATTTTAATACACAACTACCCCAGGTTCCGAGGATCAATGATACTGAACTAAATTCTGATGAAGATTATGAAATTGATGATAATGAATTGCTAGCTACTTTGCAAGCAGATAATGATATGGATCAATTTTCCGCTCCTAATAATACAACCACACATACAAGAAACAATTCTATTGGATCATACGGTGATGAAGAAGAAAATGATCCGTTTTTGAAGGAAGAAGAAAAGTTTCTTGTTAATGAATTTGAGAATAACGGTTTTGATGAGGATGATTCTGTGAATGTCGGAAGCTTTGATTATAATGACCCTTCGGACAGGGATAACTTGATCGACTCGTTCAATGTAATTAATGCGAATCAGAATAAGGATGTAATTCAATACGCTAGTAGTGCCGATACTAAGTCAGATGAAGATGATGAGGACGACGAAGACGACGAAGACGAATATGATGATTTTATTGACTTTGACGCTCCGCTATTCGATAAAGACGAAGAAGATGATTATGATGTCTATGAAGAATTCAAAGTAGATGACCATGATAGTAGAAAACATGTGCATCATAAGAAAAAGAGACCGAAGTCAAGGAAAAGAACTAATGGAATTGGTAATAGTGACGAGGAAGACGATTCCTATTTGTGGAACTATTTTTTTAGTTCTGATAATAGCTCACTGAGTGGTGAAGATGAAGAGAATTATAGGTATGATGATTCTGAAGAAAAAGTAATAATGGAGAAACTTTTCAAAAATATGGAAAAGGAGAACCGTTCTAAAAAGCTTATGCGTCGCAAAAATAAGCTGATGGCACTTGATAAAAATCATTATATACCGTCGGATAATGAATATGAAAGTGGTGAATCTACTGACGTAGACTTGAGTCTTCCACCTTCCACTGACAAGAAATCTGGATCCAAAATGGCAAAAGAAGTTTTGTCTTCCAAGACAGCTGACTATAGACCTCCGGTATTAGGTACTTGGGCTGCAATTGACAGCAAACCTTTTGGAATCATTGATGGTTTATCAACTAGATCGTTGGGCAATAATACCACTGTCAATAACTCTAACAATAAGCAAATGGAACCTAGACTGCTTTCTCGAAAAGGCATAGCTCCACTACATACCAATACAACGGATGACCTGGCATTGGGTCTAGATGAACTCTTAAATGTCAGTGAATTAGATGATGATGACGAGAACGATGCCAAAATATGGAGAGATTTCAATAATCAAAAGAAACAAGTACCATTGGGTGCATTTCGTAACAAATCCATTCTACAAAATCAATTAATACACCCAGAGAACGTCACCGTACCAAACAATTCCTCATACAACCACACCAGCAAGTCCAATAATGAATTCAATAAAAGAAGATACTCTTTATCAAACCACCAAGATAGCGGTTCTTGGAGAAATAACCTGGTCACCAAGTACGCAAGCGTGAAAAAGCCTGTACATGATCGTAAGTCATCTTTCTCCCATTTACCGGCTCCTAATATTGATTCTCCCAATAAAAATGTCCCCTCTAAACTCAAAAGAAGACGTGCATCGATCGTGGAAGCCGTCTCCGAGGGCTTAAGACCAACCAAGTCAGGTCTTTTTAGTGAAGATGCGTTGGCTGATGTTGAAGAAATTCTCGGCGAAGATACAGATTTAATGGGTTTGATTAAGGGATTGTGACAACCATTAATAAAATAACAGTTTTTCAGTGATAAATATTATTAAGTTCTACATTTATATACGTTATTAGTTTTTGTAATTAATATTTACCTAGTTATACCAATATATTCTGCAAACATATCAACCAGAAATTACTGTACATAATTAAGTAGTGTCAGTACCAAATAGTGGCGCTAGTAGAACCAGTAATTTTTTTCAACATACTTCTTCAGTATTGATACTATTAGCACATTAAAATCCAGTATCTGTTGTGTTGGTAGTTATCAAAAGCGTCTGGTTTCGGACATACTAATAATTGTAATTTTACGTTGATCAACTTCGACATTATTATATCGCTCAATACATATTATATTCTCTGATATAATAAATAGACCATCACTGAAAGCATCTTTCATAATATTATAACGAAACAAGTAATAGTAACGCTGTATCTTCAATACATTTGTTATAGTTACTATTTATATATATAAACATACATACGGGAGTTTTTAGTAACTTTGATCGTTCAAGCGCTTAAACTAAGTAAACTGCCAAGTTAAGAACATAATGTCTGCTAGACGTTCCTCGAGGGCCAATAAAGGTCAACATAGCAAAAGAGAAATAGATTTCTATGTGGATGAAGAAGAATTGCCATCTGACAGGAAGAGACTGTTAAATAATAGCTCGCAAGATAATAAACGGCCGCATTTGGACCAAGATGAAGATGATGGAGATTATAAGGAAGACGGTGAAGAAAAAAGGGATGACGATATAGAGGACGAAGGTGAAGTAAGATGTACCCCATGTGGCACGACAAGTGAAAATTATGATGAAGACAGCGACCAGGGAGGTACGATGATTGAGTGTGAGTCTTGCAAAACCTGGCAACATGCCAAGTGCATGGGCTATAGGACATCCAAGACAATTCCAAAGCATTACAAATGTAATGTTTGTAGTGGACTGAATAGTAATAAGTTGGAAAAGGCTAATGTTGACTCGTCTGCTATTAGTGAAAAATTGAAAGATAAGACCAGGGCAAGCGTGGCAAAGGCTTTCGTTAATGTTTTCAAGAGGAACATTCCCGAATCATATAACTTTCCTGAAGGAATGGATAACGAAAAATTATCGTCCAAATGGGCCATTGAATTGGAAAGAGAGATTTTTGTTTGGTGTCCTAAAAAGGATAAGAAATATACTGACAAAAGTCGTAGTCTTATGGTATTAATTAAGAAGCCTAATGTTATGACTCGTCTAATCGATGGTGAGTTATCGTTTACCAAGTTAGTTAATTCGTCGCCGGAGGAAATTGACAGTGAATTAAAAGAATACGCCGAAAGAGTGAGGCTGGAATCAATTCGTCGTTCAGTTTTAACGGTAGATGCAAATCAAGGTCAAAGAATCAGGAGGACCCACAAAGGTGAAGAAATAGTTGAGGATGCTAGTAACCAACAAGAGGATGTTGATATTAGCATAATGACAAGGAACATTGATCACCGGAGATTTGAAGATGGGGAACCTGCAAGAGAAATAATAGTTAATGATAGTGGTAAGCCAGCCTATAATAACTATATGGAGGATGATGATGAAGAGGGAGAAGAAGAAGCAGAAGAAAAGCAAAAACAAGGATCCGATAAAGAAGGTTCTACATCGGACGACAAAGAGGGGTTACCTCTGAGTGATATTGATGATGTTCCCGATTTAGATGATGATGAATTAGATTTCATTATTAAGGGAAAGAAAGAAACAAAAGTGGAGACGAAAAAACCACTGAATATTAAATTGCCTCCTATTTTTTCATCAAAGATATGGTCAGGGCGTATTACATTTCCAGATTTTGCATCATTCGGTGCTAGTGGTGAATTTTATACTTGTTCGAATTACAAGAATCCGACAAACCCACAAGAAGTTAAACTTCATAATCGATACGTCAACATTTCGAAGGAAATACTTTCGAAGGACCATTATGAAGTTGAGGGGCGATTGGATAGAACAAGAGCAGATGCGTATTTGGACAAGATTATAACGACAAGAGACTTGATTTTAGTTGAAATCAAATGCACTGAAAATCAAAGTGGATACGATAAGTTATACAGGTATTTGCTTGAAAGAAATAAAGTAGGAGTTTTGTCAGGTAGGCCAGCATTTGTTAAAGATGCATATTTGTTAGGCATAGATGGTAATGATTTCAACTTACCAGAATATTTAAAGTCTCTTCATAAGATTGTTGGAAAAGTTGGTTTGTTCGCTTTATATATTGTTAAGAAGGACTATGTACCCACTGGCCCAAGCATTCTCAAAAAGTCGACGCCTAACCCTACACATTATAACTCACAATCATCTAATACATCTTCAAAAGAGAAAACTCCATTATTGGATTCAATTTTATATAAGCTTGGTGGAAATGATACCAAAAAAGAAAATATTCAAATTCAAACTCCTCAATATAATCCACCAGTCGCACAAAATGGGTTACCTGCCAGTTTAACCACGGACCAGCTTTCATACTTATCAGGGTTGGTTCAACAAAACCCTCAAGTTCAACAAAACCCTCAAGCATTAATTCAGTTGTTGCAACAACAAAAGAATACTGATTATTCTCCTTATCATTAAGTTATGTTCAGTAGATATGTATAATATTCTGTATAGTTTTTAGCTCATAATTTCCCTTTAATTTATCGTTAGTGGAACTGACCCCTAATATTGCTTAATTATTAACGTATAAATAATTTGTTTAAGTATTGTTTTAATATATGAAGCTTCTTTGTGCAACTATGGAAACTGTGAATTTTGGTGCTCTCAATTCTACCTAAATAGAATTAGAATTAGAATCAACATTACATATAGTTTTATTATTTTATTCATGCCTAAAGTTACATCTTATGGGGAAAAACAGTAATAGTTTAGTCGGATTGGATATTGAGGATTCGACAGTTCATAATCAAACCCCAAGGAAGTTATCAAATCAGTCGCAAAATGATATGAATAGTAGCTTGATATTTGGGAATGAGATAACTTCTAAAAGTAGTCAAACACAAAATGATGACGTAGGGAGGAAACCATTTAGTTTCGATAACGAATCAAACGATAATACGACCCATAAACAAACATTGGTAAAAGAAGCACCAACACAGAATGATACTACATTTGAACTATTACAAAATCCGAACGATACACCATTTCTTGCCAAACTAAAAGATCCATTTGAGGACACATATAATGAATCATTACAGAAGTTAAGCATTGAGACACCGTTGAATAAAAAAATTAGTTCTCAATGGAATGATATTCCACTAGAAAATAAACCAACACATAAATACAATTTTGAGACTCTACGTAATGAAGCAGATAATTCGTGTTTAGAATATGAAACTCAAGGAAATGAGACGATATTTGGTAATGATACGAACAGAATATCTAACGATGCTGATACCCAAATAATCAATAATTTATCAGGATACGATACTTTGAGATTTGCAGCTAATTCAAATAGATTTATCAAATCGAATGAATTTATATTTAATGAAGAAACACAAGTGGATTCGAATAAACATAAATATTTTATTGAAAACGATACGCAAATAATTGATCCTAAGACAAATGATACACAAGTGATAGCTCCTCCTCAAAATGATTGCGATATAAGAACAACCAAAATAGTCGAAAATGAAGATAATCTTACTTCTTCTAGTTCTCAAAATGCAATTCAAATACCCAGTACAGTTGAAAAGCCCTTTGTTTCTCGACCACAAGTAATAAATACTCAAGAAGAAGAGCCCGATAGCACGCCTAGTAATACTAAAGTTGATCTTTCAACCAGACCTGTATACTCTAGTAGTCAAAGGCTGGGAGAAGAAGAAGAGGAGGAAGTAAGGACTGATGATGAAAAGGATAAGGATAAGCTGAATCAACAAGGGCTATATTATGAAGATAGCTTATTGACACTCCAACTAAGACAGAAGAGAAGACTATCTAACCCTGAAAGTAACAGCATTCATAGAAAAGCGATAAAAGCTTCACCAAATAAAGACATTTATGAAATTGATAAGCAAATCCCACTTAATAACATGTCTAAAACTCCTTTATCACTTAAGAACAAGCACCATCATCAAGTAGCTGTCTCGCCTAGTGAAATCGATGAATCGTCCCCAGGTATCAAAAGGACAGATATTTTGGGATTTCCAAGTAAATCATCCCCTCAAACTGATAATGATGCCTCGAATACCAATAACAATGGAACGAATAAAATAAAATTTCAAGCAAATCTACCATCTTCACCTTCAAAGGAGCGAGCAAGAATAGAAATGGAAATGAAACTTCCCGGAGTACAAAGTACTGAATTAAAAGATACAATTGCAGTAAATGAAATAAATTCAGAAGATAACAGTTCTGAGTTGGAAGATATCGATTTAGTGCATTTCAATGATACAGATTCATTACCTACTATTACAAGAAAAAGCCGATCCATTACAGTTAATACATCGTCACAGTCTCAAGATGAATTACAGCCTAACCAGAGTTCAAGCCAGATGCCTGCCATGGATGTTAGGATGAATGATTTACAGGGGGAGCGAAGTAGAAGAGATAAGGTGCTATTTGAAGAAGTCCTGAATGTTCTAACTCAGACTGATATTCATTGCATGGAAAGCGTTTGGGTTTCATTCAAGTTCAATATGTATACAGGTAAAACAACCAAGATAGGATATGATAACCTGATAGTAGAATTCGAAGAAGGAAGCTATTCTATTAAGAATTCAGATTTATATTTGCTTGATATCAGAATTGGCGATAAGCTAAGAACAAGATCATCAAAATATAAATTTGTGGTTACTGGATTGGCGCACAGCAGGAATGGGGATAACATTAAATGTATTCGAGGATATAATATAGTTTCTTTGCGAAGAATATCTAAAGCTAAAGGAAAGAAATTCGAAGAACTAGAAGCGAACTTATCCGAATGTTATATGGAACTTTCAGACTGGATTCAACATCAACAACTGTTTCAGTTCTTGTTTGATGGCCAAGATTTATTAAAGCACGATGGGGGAAATATTTTTTTGAATAATCTTAGTCTCGATATACACAGAACACCATCAAGAAACACCCGGTATTCAAATACACCCGACATTGTGGAATATGATTTGAAATATAGAAATGGACCATTGAGCAGTCCATCAAAAAAAAATGAATCGAGAATAGTAAATGGTGGTACTTTAACGAAATTAGGCTCTAGCGGTCTATTTTCAGGAATGTTATTTTGTCTTACATTCGGCAAGAGTATCGACGAGGATAAGAAGGAAAAAATCAAAGCGACAATTGAAAATAACGGTGGTTCACTACTTGATGAAGGACTTCACAATATTCTAAAGTATTCCAGATCTCAGAATGGCTCATTGGAATTAGAATCCCCAGTATTATCAGAATTCTCTTTTGGGGCAGTCATCTCAAATAACTTTTGTCGTAGTGCAAAGTATTTACAAGCGCTTGCTTTAGGGTGGCCAATTTTATCGGATTATTACATATTTGATTGCCTCAAAGACAATAAAAAATTAACCGACTGGCCAGTATATTTATTACCAGCCGGCCAATCACAGTATTTGGGTAGCGTTAAGAGCTTAGAGATTTTCAAATTCAGACAGAACTATGAAACCAACAAGGAATTATCTTATCAATTGAAGAACAATAATCATTTATTACAAGATGTCTTTATTGTTATAATAAATAACAAAGCAAATCTCAAGACATTACAAACTTGCGAGTTTATTTTTCATGCATTTGGAGCGAAATCTTTGAAATACTGCTCGTCTGTCAATGAAATAGCCAATGTCACCAAACATTGTAAGGATGTCCCAATATTAGTATATGATAACAATGAGACAATAAAACAAGATATGAAAGCATTAAAAGTTGAAAATACAGGTGGAACTCGTACGAGATCTCAATCAAGGGCTAATACTAAGCAAAGCTCAGATATTAAATTGCTGAAATCAACTCCTAAAAAAAAGAATATTGGTTTTATTAATTGGGAATGGGTAGTTCAATGTGTTATAAGCGGATATATTTGGGATCCGGAATATATATAAGTCATCTGAAGATGAAATATTTTGTCTAAAAGTTAAACAATCATTATTCATTAAATTTATAGTCTATAGAAATGATATATTTAATATACTAGGTAGTTTAGACCATGCGAAATAACCGCTTAAACAACACGCCTATAACACCTTTGATTAAATTAAATCCACTGTCAGCTCTAACAGCATCACCATTCTCTTCTAAACGTCTAAGTAAGTATTCTTTGGTTTCTAATGGAGGGCCCCAAGCAACATATTTAATGACGTTATCAACATTATGAGTCTTGATCAAATTATGAGTAATATTATCAGCCATACCTAATAATTGGCCTAAAATAACATTATTCTTGTTCTTATTATCCACCAGTGTAGCTCTATTCAATTTTTCTGTAGTCAATTTTAATGAATCGGCGTTATGAGATGCCACAACTAAATGACCAATTGTTAACTCATTCTCCTTATTGGCCAAAATAGATTCAATGCAATAAGTAATACCTTGATTATAGTTCAAATCAGTATCTTCTTTTGTCTTATGGATGACTTCTCTATTTTTCTCTGAATGAATATAGGCACCTCTGACCAATTTTAAACCTAATCTATAATTGTTTTCCATCGCCAACTTTTCTTCTAAAGCTAACAACTCAGACGAACCGGCCAAATACATCTGCAACGTACCAACTATAGAAACAGGCTTATTGAGTGGATTATATTTAGCATATAATCTTCTTTGTAATTCATAGACACCTTCCTGTAATTCGTGCTTCTCGGCATCGATAACACCTACAATAAATGGTGCAGTCCTATCGGGAAATTTTTGCGATAATTTTAAGTTTTCTTCGTAAATTGTTCCGCAAACATTGGAAGCCTTATCAACCAATTCCTCGAACATGGCAGCGTAATGAGGATCAGTTTTATAGTATTTTAAGACATTTGATGCATCTTTGGCGAACCCAGTTGGCTTCAATGCAACATATCCTGGAGGGATGGAATTAATATCCTTCCCGGACTCCCTAATTATGGTCAATATGTGCGGAATTAAGATCTCGGTGACCGAACGTTGCGTTTCGCTGACTATAAACTCGGGATCTATGTTATCATTCCCGTTACACGCTTCAATAGTTAAAGAAAGCATCATGTTATTGATGCCCCTTTTGCTTAACCGCATTCCTGTCTGTTTCACCTCCTCAATATTCTCACCACCACAGTATAATTTGTATACCAATGCCTTTATAACCGACATGGGCACATATGGAAACATTTTAATGCACATATTCAATATCGGTTTATTCAATGTTGCAGCTCCAATAATTACATACGACAACAACTCACTAACTTTAAAATCCTTCAAGTAGGTCGTACTGTCAGGGATCTTAAAGCTCTCATGGCCAATACCGACCTTAGCAATGCCAGATGTAGTTGAACTGTTGTTTCTACCTGCCTGTTCGTGTGGAATATTAACTCCGAACGTACCATTCAGCTTATTTGGAGATTCATGGAATAATCTATAATATCCTACTCCAGGTACCAATAATTTCTTAC